TTCCCCACTTCAGGGAAGTTCTCAGCTATTATTTCTTCAAGTACCCCTTCAGCACCTTTCCCTCTCTCTTCCTCCTCTGGGATACCAATGATGCGTATATTGTTTCTTTTAAGTGTATCACTTAGTTCTCTAATTTTCCCCTCATACTCCTCGATTTTTTTCTCTCTCTTTTTCTCAGCTTCCTCTTTTTCCATAACTTTATCTTCTAGTTCACCTATTCTCTCCTCTGCCTCTTCAATCCGAGCTGTGGTGGTTTCCATTTTGTTATGCATTTCATTTAAAGCGTTTTTCAGCTCCTCGTGACTGTTCCTTAGTCCCTTGATCTCTGTAGCAAGAGATTCTCTGCTGTCAGCTATACTGTTTTCAAGCCCAGCAATTAATTTTATGACTATTATTCTAAATTCACTTTCTGTTATATTATTTAAATCCTTTTTGATCAGCTCATTAGCTGTTGTTATTTCCTGGAGATTCTTCTGAGGGGAATTCTTCCGCTTGGTCATTTTGGATAGTCCCTGGCGTGGTGAGGACCTGCAGGGCACTTCCCCTGTGCTGTGGTGTATAACTGGAGTTGGTGGGCGGAGCCGCAGTCAGACCTGATGTCTGCCCCCAGCCCACTGCTGTGTCCACAGTCAGACTGGTGTGTGCCTTCTCTTCCCCTCTCCTAGGGGCGGGATTCACTGTGGGGTGGGGTGGCCTGTCTGGGCTAGTTGCACACTGCCAGGCTTGTGATGCTGGGGATCTGGCGTCTTAGCTGGGGTGGGTAGGCAAGGTGCACAGGGGCAGGAGGGGCAGGCTTAGCTTGCTTCTCCTTAGGTGATCCACTTCAGGAGGGGCCCTGTGGCAGCAGCAGGGAGTCAGATCCGCTGCCGGAGGTTTGGCTCTGCAGAAGCGCAGAGTTGGGTGTTTGCGCGGAGGGAGCAAGTTCCCTGGCAGGAACTGGTTCTCTTTGGGATTTTGGCTGGGCGATGGGCGGGGAAGATGGCGCTGGCGAGCGCCTTTGTTCCCCACCAAACTGAGCTCTGTCGCCCGGGGGCTCAGCAGCTTTCCTTCCCTTTGTCCTCCAGCCTTCCCGCTTTCTGAGCAGAGCTGTTAACTTATGACCTCCCAGCCGCTAAGTCGCGCTTGCTGTCGGAACACAGTCCGTCAGGCCCCGCCGCTTTTTGCAAGCCAGACTCGGGGGCTCTGCTTGGCCGGCGAGCCGCCCCTCCGCCCTGGCTCCCTCCCGCCAGTCCGTGGAGCGCGCACCGCCTCGCCGCCCTTCTTACCCTCTTCCGTGGGCCTCTCGTCTGCGCTTGGCTCCGGCGACTCCGTTCTGCTAATCCTCTGGTGGTTTTCTGGGTTATTTAGGCAGGTGTAGGTGGAATCTAAGTGATCAGCAGGACGGGCGGTGAGCCCAGCGTCCTCCTACGCCGCCATCTTCTCAGACCACCTACCATCTGATTCTTGTTAGGCTTTCCTTGTATGAAATATGAGCAAGTTGGGTGGGGGGGAGGTTCATGAGGGAGCATGAGCAAACTGACGAAATGTTTCAGGGAGGAGACAGATTCTTGAATGAGGTATCATAGACCTCTACATCATTTACCACTTAGATTTCTTCTCTATTTGAATTTTCAGCCATGATAAAAAGTTTGCAATTTCTGTAGTGTCACAGGAAAATCCCCCATGGCATTTTGTAATTCCCAATTTCCATAGCTGATTTCAACAGTCTGTCAAACTTCTGACAGCTGTAGCTTTTCTCTTCCGGAACACTGGAAAGACACTGTGTTAGAATATTATTTTGATAAATTAATGGGCCTTATAAGAATTCTGAAAGGCAAGAGACCAAATTTCTCTGCAGCTACACATATGGGGCTGATGGTTAAAGCTTAGGATCCCAGGTTTAGGATCTTTGGGAACAAATAAGTCTCAGTGTCAGATTGATGTAAACATTCTTAAGTAGAAAAAACTTACAAATCCCCATACTTGAGGGTCCACCTTAGAATAGTAAAATACGAATCTCTGAGATAAGACCTAGGTATGCACATGCGTGCACGCACACACACACACAGATGTATTTATAAAATATTTGATCTTAATATATAAAATCATATATGGTTTTAATATATAAGCAAGGTTTAAAACAATTATTTTGGGGCGCCTGGGTGGCGCAGTCGGTTAAGTGTCCGACTTCAGCCAGGTCACGATCTCGTGGTCCGGGAGTTCGAGCCCCGCGTCAGGCTCTGGGCTGATGGCTCGGAGCCTGGAGCCTGTTTCCGATTCTGTGTCTCCCTCTCTCTCTGCCCCTTCCCCGTTCATGCTCTGTCTCTCTCTGTCCCAAAAATAAATAAACGTTGAAAAAAAAATTAAAAAAAAATAAAATAAAACAATTATTCCAAGACTAAAGAGAAGAGGATATCAGGTTTTTTAATGTTTATTTATTTTTGAAAGAGAGAGAGAGAGATTGTAAGCAGGGGTGGGGCAGAGAGAGGAAGAGAGAGAGAGAATCAAAGCAGCCTCTGCACTGTCAGCGCAGAGCTGGAAGTGGGTCTCAAACTCACGGGTTGTGAGATCATGACCTGAGCCGGAACCAAGAGTCAGAAGCTCAACGGACTGAGCCACCCAGGCTTCCAGGGGTATCAGTTTGATAGGAGATGAAGGAGACTGGGAGCTGAGCCCAAGGTTTATCAACTAAAGATTTTTTGTCTACTATCAGGCACCATTAGGACTCTTAGCAGGGATCCACATATTGTTGCTTGGGATGATCCACTGAGAAATTGGGTTTGGAGGTACAAGGCATCTCCAAAGAAGAAAAGGGTCAGACACTGAAACCAGTTTCCAGACTGAGTAGAATCTGCATTCCCAATGCTGTCCCACCTACACTTGTCATTATTCTACTATACTCTAAGACAGGGATTAACAAACTACCATCTGCAAGCCTAATTTGGCCTACTGCTTTTTTTTGCATGGTCAACAGGCCAAAAACAATCTTTGCTTTTTTAATGTTAAAAGAAAGCTCAAAGAAAGAATATATTTTTTTGACATAGGAAAATTCAATTTCTATAGATGAAGTTTTATTGAATCACAGCCATGGTCATTTGTTTGCATATTGTCTGTGGCTATTTTCACACTATGAGGCAAAGTGCTACAGAGACTTCAAAGCTCATAAAATCTAAAATATGTACAATTTAGACTTTCTACTAGGTTCCTAGCACTGCTGTAACAAATTATCACAAACTTGGTGGCCTGAACAACAGAAATCTATCTTCTCCCTGTCCTAGAGGCTAAAAGTCCAAACTCAAGGTTTCATCAGAGTTATGCTACTTCCAGAGGCTCTAAGATTCCATTCTCTGCCTCTTTCAACTTCTGGTGGTTCCAGGTATTCCTTGGCTTGTGGATGCATCACTCCATTCTCTGCCTTGGTTTTCACGTGGCCTGTGCCCTGGGTATTCTCCACCTGTAAAACATGCACTTGTCATTGGATTTGGAGAATAACCCAGAATGATCTCATCTTAAGATTCTGACCTTAATGACATCTACAAAGGCCTTTTTTTTTTTTCCAAGGGGACACTTTATATCTTACTAGACTCCCTTATAGAAAAATTTTGTCTTGGTCTAGAATTTTAACTCAGCTATGGGAAAATGAGACTCTGGGAGAAAGGGATGGTAGACTGTAAGAACGTTTACATTTTGCTAGTGTGGGCTTTTGTTTTATTCAAAAGGGACAGGAAAGCCTGTTGGCTACTGGATGACTTTTACAGACAGTGAAGAGAATGCTATTGGTGAAATAAGGATTAATTCCACCCACACATAATTCCTTATTTTCCAACAACTACTACTTAAAATATGCCATATGTCAGGGAATTGATAACCAGTCCAGAGATTTGCCTTAGGTTTCAAAAACACCAGTAAATGCAAAGAAACAGGACCATGTTAAGCCGAAACTGCATAAGTAACTGACCTAGCTCAATTAAGACAACCCACTGACAGCCATATTCTCTTTTTATTGCTCTTGTTATGACTTTATAAAATTGAATCCTTGCTAGAAATTTGATCAAAGGAAATATGATGAAGTCTCTTCGAACACCCAGGGGGTGTCCTGCTGGCTTCCTAGAAACATGGAGGTTGGGATACTGTCAGAATCTGATGGCATGCCTTCCTGAGCCATGACTGTTTCTTTAAAGGCCCCTTTAAGGGAGGTAACACACTGAGCGTTCAATTATGATTACAGCACATCAAAGATAGTAAGAGCTCAGCCTGGACTGTGGTGTCACTGTGGGCATCTGGAGAGCCATAAGCCAGGAATCCTGCAGATGGAGAAAAACAAAAGACAGCCTTGGGCCAAAGGGAAGGGCTGGACCAGCACCCAGAATTCTAGACAAAAGAATCAGGCAGTTTGGACGTCTGCCTCCTCCATGGATCTGTGATTAAGAGGGTGGGAAGACATTTGGCTTTCTGGCTGATTGTTGGGTAAGGAGAATAGGAGGCAGAAATGCTGTCTCTTTCATGGTGTCACTGTAGATACCAAAAAAGGTTCAGCCCTAGAATCTGGAGGCAGCATTAGGGAGTAGAGTACCCATCAAAATGGAAATTGTTTATAGTGAACACAAAAGTCATCTAATTTTCCTCAGTAGAAATCATTTTAGTAAGAAATGGAATTTAACCTAAGAGGTATTTCTTTGTGAGTGATAAGATGTGAGAGATAATTGAAGCATAACTGAGGACTTTATAATATGTCCTAAAAAAGGTGACACTTTAATGTAACTGTGTAAAAGTAAATATACAAATATGCATATATATGTATGAGTATGCATATAAATGTGTATATACATACAAATATGTATATATAAACACATAATACACATTTAAATATGTGTATACATGTATACATACTCATAATAACCATATAAACACAACTGTTCAAATGCATAAGTATATATAATGGAACTGTAAGTGTAAATATATAAATAAAATATAGTTAATACATATAACTATAAAATCAACTAGATAGAAGGAAATCATACCTTGACTGCTATGAGATTGTTTGGGTGAAGGGGTCAATAAAGCACTGATGTCTAATGAAATTCACAGCATCATCTGAATATTCAAGGCATGAGGAATCCTGACCAATTGACATAATCTTGACATTTTTGTTGTTCTTTTAGGGTATCACTTTAACAGGACCTGTAGATGTGAAAATGAAGGCACGTATTTACTGTTTTTTTGTTTGTGTGTTTGTTTTTTGCCTTAGAGCAATGAAGACATCTAAAATAAATTGTTTTAATTGTGATATAATATTCTACATAGAAATAGAAAAAATGGACTAATTTTAGTGGAATTTTACTCATGCAAGTTAAATAACTTTTTTTCTAGATCTAGATTTATTCTTTTTCTGCCCAAACGTTATTTTTTCACAAGATATATATCTTTATCTTCTTATGTAGGCATTCGTTGCAAGACGTTCCAGAGCCAGTGATAGTTTATGAAGGTGCAGTCCTGGTTTCTATTTCCAGCTAAAGAAAAGAATGTAAAAAAGTAAATGAAATCTCTGGCTTGTGTTGTTACCTGGGCTATAGTACAAGCATCTCTGTCCAGGTGCTATTTAAAAGTGAATAATCTAGACTTCCTAAGCACACAATTGTCCCCATCACGGGGCCATGACATACTGTTGTGGTGAGGATGAGATTTCATTTGAATGAGAATTCTTTCTGTCATTCTCAAGCAGGAAATTAGGTCTGACTCAGACCAGAAGAGGAAAAGATTTGCTTCTATTCAGCACATGGGTAAAGTTGAACCATATTCTCAGGCTTGTAGATTCTGGGAGAATTTGCCCTGGTTGAAGTGAACTGGCCCTGCCACCTTGAGATTGGGAAGGTGAGGATGAATATAGAGGAAAAAATCAGGAAAGGAAGACCTTTAATGATTCTATTATTAAAAGAACCAGGGGAAGCAAAAGAATAGCCCCAGCTGGGTGTTAGTATAAAATGCTTAGTGAATGGACAAGCGGATGAGGAAAGAGAAGCAGACTAGCTGTGGATTGTGAGAGCTGGTGATTCGAGAGAGGTGGTAAAGCAGTACTGACTGGCTTTATGTTGGATGTCTCGAACGGTCGTAAAACGTGTCTGTAAAAAGATGAATGATGAACCAGTTCTGTTGCTGGTTGTGCTCCTGTGAACGTACAATTAGAAAGGGACACGCGTCTGTGCTCATATTCAAATAATAGACGACCACTAGTCATGTGAATACATGTGCAACTCAAGGTTTGTGGGTCATCTTGCTTGCTGGTTAACACCACCTTTAACTGGAGAAGGTACAACGTTATCTGTGTCTGCCTAGAGGATTATTTGACCTTCTTGGATTATAGTAGAGCAAATTGAGGGATGGCATAGAATTTATTAGACTTTGTAGGAGGCTGTGTATACTTGATGAGAGTTATCGGGGAATGATGGCTTTTGACAAGTAGAAAAAAGAGTGGTTTGGAGCACTGCATGAAGTGTGGGTATGTGAGATGGCTGAGAGACACAGGCATTGCAGTGTGATGCCCCTGCCCAATTAAAGCCGTATCTTTAGTAAATCATGGTCAAGCTGCATTGGATTCTTTCAGAAGCAAAAGAAAGAGGCAGAATTCTGTTTCAGGTTGGCATCATCAGGGAGGCAGGGTGGGTCTGGGAAGAACTGAAATATTCTTCTGTGGTTCAGGAGCAAAAGAGGGGGGAATAATAAGGGACTATGTTCAGGAATTTGAAATAGTATAGTAGACATAGGATTTATGCCTGAATTATGTAATCAAAGAATCAAAGCAAGATTATCTAAACTGTGAAAGGGTTAAAATGGGCCTATTACAAAAACAAAAACAAAAACAAAAGGAAAAAAACAAGAAAAAAAGGAACAAAACGAAACAAAAAAGTTAGAATGGAAAAACCCCAGAGAGTAAGGGCACATAGGGAATGAATTACTTCCCGCAAGAAGAACTAAGCATAGGACACAGTTCAAGGAAAATTAAAGCATAGACTTTCTTTTATAGATAAAATAAAGAAAGAAAAATAAAGCAGAAGAACCCCTAGGTGTAATGGAGAATAAATCAGTATCCTGTCAATGACTGCATATATGAGTGGTGAGTAATTACTGTCTAAGAAAGAAAGAAATTGAAAATTCCAAATAAATAGATGGGGAGGTGCCATGGTGCAAAGCAATTTTGTTTTAAAAGTAATAAACTGACACACCAAGATCTAGACACTTTTTTTCTGTCTTTGCAAATATCAGAAGGAGGCTTCTGAATCGATAACAATGTTTGTTTATCTTGAACCTGAGCCAAATAGTAGCAACAGTTGTGAGAGGATTGTGCATGAAAAAGGAGACTGGGGAATGAGGGACAAATGCTTTTTGTGAGAAAAAATGCTGTAACTGGGCTTCCCCCTCCCACCTCCCCTCCTTCCCTGCCCCCCCCCACCCCTGCCCCAGGGATCTGGAGACCAGGACAAATGAATCACACAATGGATTCCCTCCCCCATCATTTTTACAGAGCTGAACTGGGATTGAACAGACCAACATTCTCCCTCAAAAGAATACACACACACACACACACACACACACACACACAGAGGACAGAGCCTCAAACAAGCTGTTCATAACTTGAGTAAGTGAGGCAGTATGGTAGAGAAGAATTTATGTACTGATTAAAATAGCAATAAAGCTAACATTTATTGATTATATATGTTAGGCAATGTGCTAAACACTTTACATGCATTGTTTCACTTAATGCTCATAACAAACTTGTAAACAAGTAATAGCAATATCTCTATTTTACAGAAAAAGAAACATGTAAAAGAACCAGAAGTAAACGTACTTTGCCTAAAGTACAAGATTACCATCACTAGTAGTATTAAGTCTATCAAAGAGTTATTAAACACTTATTTTATATCAATAAGTATTCTAAAAATTCTTCCTACATTCACTCATTCAATTCTGCTGGTAATATTATTCTCATTTTACAGACGACAGTATAAATGTCAGTGCCGGTGTCTAAAACTAATAAGCAGATCCTACTGCTTATTTAACTTTTGGACTAAGCTAGTCATATATTTAAACTTTGGACTAGGCTAGACATGTACTATTTTCCCATGGACCTACCAGCGAAAGATACCCTCAAATCTCTGTGTGCCAGTCAATCTACCTGATCATCAATTTAAGGCTGTTTCCATGGCAGTGCTGATTGAAGAGGTTTTGATAAATAAAGAATAATGGTATCAAATCTTGCAGTTAATTAATATCCTTAACATATTACTAACTCTTACAGATATTGTGAAAAGAATGATAGTTAAAGCAAGGGACAATTTATGTGAAATTTATATCTTTAAAAAAAGAAAAAGATACACAGTTCAATATCAATTTTGAACATTAATATTTTCTAAGGCTATTGTACACAAAAATTTTTAATGCAGTTTTAAAATATATGGAAATTTTTTTAATGTTATTTATTTTTTGAGAAGAAAGAGACAGAGTGCCAGTGGGGGAGGGGCAGAGAGAGAGGGAGACACAGAATCCAAAGCAGGTTCCAGGCTCCAGGTTCCAAGCTGTCAGCACAGAGACCAACGCAGGGCTCGAACTCAGGAACTGTGAGATCATGACCTAAGCCAAAGTCACACACTTAACCGACTGAGCCATCCGGTGCCTCTATGGAAATTTTCTTAATAGAAAGCCAGAATTTGTGGTACTTATATTTCGGTTTGCATTATTCTTAAACATTTTCATCAATTCCAAGAAGCATAAGAAAAATAAGGAAAATGTGATGAGATTTTACATGAAATCCAAAGTATCAAACTTAAAGCACTAAGCTAGATCCTTCCAAAATTTTTTGGTGTTAAAATGTTTTTTTTTTCCTTTTAATGTGTAAATAAATACATATACAAACACATACACATAACAATTTCCTTAAAGTTTTTTTTTTTTATTTACTTGATGAAATCCAAACACCTGAATTCACTGATAGAGTCTATCTCCTTTTCTTTGAGTACAGTGATGTAAACTTTCCACTGCACTTAAGAAATATGACAAATTCTAAATGATGTTTTGGGAAAGAAAATACAAGTATCAAAATGAATTGTTTGTTTAAAATGTATTGTTTTGCAAAATATATACATATTTTTATATAAAACGGTAAAATCTGTGGTCATTCATTAGCTGACATTCATAAACCTTCAGTGAGAACCATGCTACACGCTCGCTATGAAGCAGCAAGAACCCACTCCCAGCCCAACCTCCCCACCAAGAATCATATTGAGCATGTACTGAGTTCTAGGTGTTATGACCAGGGGTTTGAAAGTAAAGTTCATGACCACTTGGGGTTCCAAATCTACTGGAGAGGGAAGCCTTGACACCAATAAGTATAGGAAGGTCGTTCTGAATGTATAAACAAAGAATTAGGGCCAGAATAATTGACAATTATATAATTAAACTGATACAGTTGAAAAGTATCCTATTTGATAATAGAAACCTGATGCTATGTCCAATAGGGGCACAAAATAAATAAAGCCTATTGGGGAGTTAGAGGTTGATGCAAGACAATGAATATTTTTAAATGTCGCATTTCCTGATGCTGGTTCTAAGAAAAAAAAGTTCTGTGAACAAAAAAGATTACAAGATGGGGGGCTGGGTGGTTCAGTCGGTTAAACATCCAACTTCGGCTCAGGTCACGATCTCATGGTACCTAGGTTCTAGCCCCGCGCTGGGATCTGTGCTGATAGCTCAGAGCCTGGAGCCTGGAACCTGCTTCAGATTCTGTGTCTCCCTCTCTCTCTGCCCCTCCCATACTCACACTCTGTATCTCTCTCTCTTTCTTAAAAATAAATAAACATTAAAAAAATTCAAAAAAGATTTTTTTAAATGATGGATGACAATTACCCATCTCATTTTTCAACAGATTAATAAGCATCTGACCTTTAACTGGCTCATTTCTCTAAGGATTCCAGTCTTGCTGAAAGAGCCAAATGTTAATGTAGATCCATCAAATCATTTGCTATCATTCAAGGCTTTTGATCAGTACTTGTAAAATTGTGTCAATAAGGAAAAGTTACTCCAGACATTACCAAAATCCTGGAGATTTCTGCAAAAATACTCCACGGGATTTTTTTCTTCCTTACATCAAAATTGTAAATTCTCCTGATCATAGAGAAGTCATC